ATTATGTAATAAGTTAAATAATTGATTAAAATATGAGAATCAATGGAATATGTTTGAAAAGGTTTTATACTATATTAACGACGGATTTCGTCTAACGATTTGTGCCATTTCTGTGATAATGCAGCTGAAACTTCTGAGCACCTACTCGCGTCATTAAGCCCTGAGCCAAAAAAAAAAAAACATACGCTCGATATCACCAATCGTAAACGTCAGTTCCGCAGCCGTGCGGCCATGATTTGCTCAACTTAGCTCAAACTGAATGTACTGTATATGTAAGTTATAATATTTTTCGCAAGCAATGTTTTCAGTAAGGCGTATGACCAATGCCATAAGCGATGATGACATATTTTGCATGCAATTTTCGGAGATAATCTTCTTCAAAATAACCGAATTTATCTTGACAGTTGCTTAGACATTCAAATCTCTTTCCTCTGAGAACATACTTTCCTGCAGAAATAATGTGATGAATAGACAACTCTGAAATATATTATGGTAAATGAACCATGCAATCTTCCTACGATGGCAGGCGGAAGAAGTTATAGTGCTACTTTAGATTTGCATAAGACTCCTGAATATGTAATTAGATTTGGGCAATAGCAACCCACAAAAAAAAAACATCTGCAGTCCTTACAAAGATAACAATCGGCAAGTGAAAGTATTTTTATTTATACATTTCAAAGTAACATACTAGTACTCGCACATACAATGTACATTAGGGTGGATCGACAAAAAAAGTTTTTCCAGTCCACCCCTAGGATTAAAGATATTTTGAAGGCGATCCCAAAAAAATTTTTTTTTTTTTGCCACGCCCCCCCGATGGGCTATTTACTTTTTTTGACACTACGTCGCCATTTTAAGTCCGATTTTAACGAGCCGTACACCGTTGTTCATGGCTTGGAAGCCGCCACAATTCTTACCTTAATCATTTTTTACTCCGAGTTCAAATTCTAGTAGTGACTGTCGGTATCTCGTTTCACATCATACCTAAATTCCAATTTTTTTTAGTCTGTCGAAAAGGCCTTTAAATTCTGTGAATTCTCGGAGTAAAAAATGATTAAGGTAAGAATTGTGGCGGCTTCCAAGC